ACAGATGACACATGTCCACCCTTGGGACAGAAGGTGGACAGATTGGTACAAGTTATAGGAAGGTAGATTTGTTTCAGAATAAAAATGAAGTAAGACTCTATCACAGTAATAATTTGACAACAACTGGAAGTCTGTCCTGATGTAATAAGTTTCCCATTGCAGGGAGGGTTCTACGGCAGCTGAGGGCCCACCTTTACTGAGATGCTGCAGAGAGAGTCTTCTGGGTGGGCTTAAATCGCCTCTGCTCAACTCCAGCTGACTAGAGGAAGCCATTCCAGTTTTGTCCTTCTTTTCAGACTTATTTCTCTCCTATCTCCTCCTTTCCTCTCTTTTCTATCCCATTTCACCTTCTGAATTCTTTTTTTGGGTAAGATTATTTATGCATACAGAACTGGGGTACAGGCCAGAGGTGCAGAGTTGGTGAGAGAATTCACCAGAAACAGAGTGGGGAGCAGAACAGGCAGATTGATAAAGTACACTGCTGTGGGGAACAATGGGTGGGTCAGGAGAGGTGCCGTGCCACGTGGGTCACCTCTGGGGCAGGCGGGGATCGGACTAGGTCTTAGTGCTGTGCCTTAACCCACTGTGCCACCAGGGAGGGCCACCTTCTGAATTCTTCATAGGCCATGCTGTGCCTGTCAGAGCTTTCATAATATTCAGGATCCCCCTGCTAGACTCGGGAAATATCGGCAAGAAGCAATTTGTCTGCAGTCTGATGACCATACAAGATCAAGCTCATTCTGATGCATTTTTCCAGGAGTCAGTTCTCCTCCAGCAAGTATATGAATTTGTGTGCATGTCAGCGTGTGTTCATCATGCCTGTGCTTATGCAAGAGAGTGTGTTGTGACTTGAATTACACTCAACAGTACCAGAATTTACTTTGAGGGTATGTGAGTAGAGGGGTAGCTGTGGTCTTGGTTACCAGGGAGGACTGGTTCCCACTCTTGTCTCCTGCCTCCCTTCTCCCCTCCTCCACACCCCCTGGCCCCAGACTCGCTCCTCTGGGTTAATTTCCTTGGCTGCAGCTGTGACTCTCTCCAGTTCCCCACCCCCCTTGCTCCCAGTTTCTCCTTCATTCCTCTTCCCTCCCTCCCTCTCTCCCTCCCTCCACCCCCCCCCTCTCTCTCACACACACACACAAGCACACACACAGCTTGAGTTATGTGCCTCCTGTTCTAATGAGATAAACAACATAACTCTCACGGGGCTCTGCTTGTCCCTCTATAGTGGAACTCCAGGGCTGAATGTGTTTGGTCCTATAAAGGCACCCTGGTGCCTGTCAGCCTAGGGAGGAGGGCAAGGAGGGGGGCAGGCACCCCCAAGAGAGTTCTTGAGGCCATTTGCTAGCTGAGACAAGGTGGAGTCTAAGCAGACATTAAAGGGAGGCCTGTTTCTATCCTTGTGACTGAAGGAGCAAAAGCAGCGTGGACATGACAGTGGGGGAAGGTGGGGGGCCCTGTCTGGCCACATGGGCACAGAGTTCAGACTCATCTAGGCCTGCTAACTCATGATAATTAACAACGGACATTTGTACAAGGTTTCATAGTTATAAAGGTTTCTTCTTAAATATAAACTAATCCCCAGGACAGGCCCTGGAAGGTAGGTATTATCAACACCTTTATCTTAGAGGGTAGACTCTGGCTTGGAAAGGTGTTGGGATATTTCTAAGGTGACAGCACACGAAGAGGATTCATGTACTTTGCCTTTGCACTGTAGAAATTTCTCCAATTCTTCAGAGAAAGTTAAGGAATGAAATTAAAGCAGTCTTCACTTCTGGACATTCAGATTACTTGCTAAATTTAACTTGTGTGGTGTCTGGCCTAGAGATACCAGCTGAGTGGCCAGAGGCTGCCTTGATGCTACTGACCAGCAAACACAGTGGCCAGAGTCTTGGGGAGGTTGGAGGACCTACGTGGAGAGGAGTTGATGGTTTTGAGTTCTTGCCATTGAGATCGTTGGAGAATGCTGATCCCTCACCTATTTTTGGTCAGGTTGGAAATACCTTGGCATGGAGTAGCTTAAGATGCGGAGTGCTCTACTGGGGCGGGTGGGGTGTGGTCTCTTCCAAGCCACCTTCCTCTTGGTGGTTTGGATGTGGAGGATGAGTCTCTGGGGACAGCGGGGGGCCGTGATCTTTCACTTTCTGCATTTATTTTTTATTATTTATTTATACATACAGAATTGGGGTACAGGTCAGAGCTGCAGGAGTGGTGAGAGGATTCACCAGAGACAGAGTGGGGAACAGAACAGGCAGATCGGCGAAGTACATTGCTGAGAGGAGCAGAGGGCGGTCAGGAGAGGTCTGCCGCACCATATTAGTTACTTCCGGGATGGGTATGGATCTCTCTGTGAAGTAGCTGCAGGGAGCTTCATGGTGCTGCGCTTTTAACTTGTTGCGCCACCGGGGAGGGCCTACTTTCTGCATTTCTAAGTCTGGTTCAGCTGTGATTGAATTTCTTTGAGAAGTGTTTATTTATTTATTTTATTTATTTATTTATGCATACAGAACTGGGGTACAGGCCAGAGGTGCAGGGTTGGTGCGAGGCTTCACCAGAGACAGAGTGGGGAGCAGAACAGGCCGACAGATGAAGTATACTGCTGAGGGGAGCAGCGGGCGGGCCAGGAGAGGTCTGCTGCACCATGTGGGTCACCTCCTGGACCAGAGATTGAATTTGGACTGAAGCAGCTGTGGCTAGCTTGCTGTGCTGTGCTTTAACCCATTGCGCCACCAGGGAGGGCTGAGAAGTGTTTCTTGATGTGCTTGTTGGGTACTGTATTAAGCTTTGGGGATTCTGTAGATGGACATGGTTCCTGCCATCCTGGATCTTGTAAAATTAATAGGGAAGGCAGTCCAGTAGACAGGCAATTAATGATGACACCTTGGGAGGAACACAAGGAGCCTTGGGCGCCTGCAGGGAAAGCCATTAAACCAGTCTTGTGCAACAGAGAGAACATCTAGGCAGTAACTAGATGGTGCTTAGACATCCAGGGTTCTTGGTCAGACATTGGACCGACATGTAAGGTTCGTAAAATATAGTTGCCCCCGCTCCCCACCTTGTTTAGATTGCACAGGCCTGGCACATTGGCGTTATTATGTTCTCTAGGTGATTTTTGGATTCCTGAGAACACCAGGCCAGAGCAGGCCAAGGTTTTTGGGAGGCATCCAGACTCAGTGTACCCATACAGAAATTATGGGGTCAAGATGACATGGTCCTGGAATAAATGACACTAGAAGCATTGAACCTGTCCTAGGGACACCTTCCCTCAAAGAAAAGTCAAATTTGGTTTTCTATAACTCAGTCACTAGTCTGGTCCTCTGTGTGCAGGGAGCTTAGAGCTTTAGGATTTTCCCACTTTGCAGGAGCTTGTGAAGTTTTCAACAAATTCAAGTATTAGATGGACTCTTGGACATAACACCCTTTGCTCATGACACCAGAGATTTTTCTGGAGTCTCTTAAGTTGATCGTTCTGAATGATTTCTAAGATTCAAAGGAGGTGGTGTAGTCCAATTTGTTCAGTCTTAAAACCAGTGGAAGCAGCTGTGTGATTAATAGTGAAACAGAAAGAGCATTTGGAAAATTTGATTCTTTTAAAGCTGGGATACTTGCCACTTTTTGGACCCAAACCTAGGATTTGCGTTCCATAAAGAAACCTAGTAAAAATCACATAACAAAATGAATGAACACAGTGCAGTGAAATTGTTTTTTTTTCTCTGTAAAAGGTGAAAATGCGGACAGTTTTCCTCCAAACTTTTGAAGGCCCCCAAATGGAAGACAGCAGATGGGACTAGGGTTCTGATGTTTCCTAAGCCCTACGGTCCTAGTCTAGAAAGTGACTGTTTTACTTGAGGCTGCGTGCACCAAGCAGTTGTCACCTGCCACGTTCATGTATATGTAGATGGACTTGTGATTTGATCAAAATGAAACTGAAACGTATTCATTCATTTGCTCGCTTACTCATCTATTCACTCAGCAAGTGTTTAGTTTGATTCTTCTATGTGTTGGGGTCACATCTGGTTCTGGGCATTCTGATGAGAACAAGACAAAGTCCCTGTCCTCACCAGATCTTCTACCCTAGGGGTGTGGGTTGGTTAGCTTGTTGGTCTATTTTGGGATCCACCAGACAGTCTTTTTAGTCTGCTGATCATCTCACCAGTCTTCAGTTCTCTTACTCTCTCTTTGGCGTTCACCCTTGCACTTTCCTTTGTGAAAGGCTGTGGTCATGTATGATCACAAGGTCACCTCCCCCAAGGTGTCTGGCTGTCTTTGTGTGTTATCTGAGGTTTCTCATGGGGTGTTTGGCATAACAGGTGGTGCTGGTGTAGAAACTCAGTGCCCAAGGCCAAATCTAAACAGAGAGGCTGGTTGGGAACAGAGTGGTCCAGGCCCTGGACGTGGGCAGGGATATACAGGCCAGCTGGCTCTGCAGGCTACGGAGCCTCCTGGCCCATAGGCTTCCATTCCGAGGGAGGTTGCTCAGGGCTCCCTTTGGTTTCAGTGATTAGCCAACTCTAATGGAATGGAGGAGGCCAGTAAATAGGAGACCTGGCTCCTTAATCCTATTTCTTTAAAGTGCTTTCCAATCCAGGCTGTAGGTAGGCAGATATATTCTGCTGGTCGACCCTGAAGGGAAACTGCTTAACCTGATCCCGGAGAGGTGGGTGGTTGATGGGCAGTAGCGGAAGAGTCTCTGTCTACGACACAATGTGGAGAGCTGGACTCTGGAAAGTCCCTCTGATTGCTCCAGATATGGAGGGCAGAAATCTTGGTAATGGTGATGGGTTTACTGAGAAAAGCCTGATGGAGCAGACAGAGCAGGGCCCTGGGGCCAGCTGACCTAAATTCTGCCTGTGCTCTTCCACCAACCAGCTGTGACTTTGACCTGTCATTTCAGCTCTCTTGGCTTTAGTTTCCTTTTACACAAATGAGGGGAGTTAGACGGCATTCCAGAGGACCTTTCAGCACGTAATCTTTAACCTTCACACTGTCTCTGTCTACAGGCCTCGCCCCTGGCCAGCTGTACACCTACCCTGCCCGCTGCTGGCGTAAGAAGAGAAGATTGCACCCTCCTGAGGATCCAAAGCTACGACTGCTGGAAATAAAACCTGGTCAGCATTTCTGGGGTTGGCTGGGACCCTCAAGGGGGAGGTGGGAGACTGGACAGGCTGAGGACAAGGTTGTTCTACTCCTTTGTCCAGAGACTGAGCTTTCCAGGAGCAGGAACGTGACTTGCGCGTGCTCAGAGGCGTGCCTGTGTCCCTGCGTCCATCTGAGCGGCTATCCTCTGGGTGCCCCTTCCTTTCTTCTCCCTCTCGTCAACCCAGAGAAGGAAAGTAAGCAGCTGCAAGGTGGGAGCAGGCTCTGGGGTGAATTTCTTTCCCTACAGAGTGAAAGGTACTGGGAGTCCATTTGATGACGCCTTCCTGAGGCCTCAAATAAAGAAGCCTTGTCCCAGGTTGTGTTTCTAAGGACAGGACACTGTGTACCCTCTGTCACACTCACTAAGCATGAACTTCGGGTGCGTCTTATATTGGAAGGGCCGGTTGCTGAAAATAGAACCCATCTTGGATTTCAAAATGGGAGAGTTTGGGTTCAAATTTTGCCTCTGTGTGATATCAGCTCATGGCTCTCTGGCCTCACCGAGGATTGGCTGGGTTCCTGACTTCTGATCTGTTGTTACACTGTTGGCTCGTGACCTGTGTCTGGGTGGAGGCAGGAAGAAGTGGTTGCCCTGGGTCTCTGTTTTTTGGGGTGCCAGGTCTGGGATGTGACTCAGGGTGGTGGGAACAGCATTGTCACATATTTGTGGATCCTCTACTCTTCTTTCCACTGGCACCAAAGCTGTCCATGCTGACCACGAGACTGAAGTTTCTCTGCAGAATCTCTGGAATATTTTTATGCACAGCTCCATGATTCAAGTGTGCTTTGACTATTCACTTTAACCCAGACTTTACTGGTGTTTAAGTTTTATTTGTGGGGGTGGAAGGAGACTAGATATTTTTGGGGTGCTCTATCCAAGTTTTCAAATGGTCTTGCTTAATTTATGGGCCCTGCAAACACTTCTGGGCAACTACAGGTTGTTCCCAGTCTCTCGAGATGCAGGCTGTCAGAGAGCCAAGTCTCCCAGCATGATACAGCCCCATGAAAATAGGATGCAAGCCACCTGAGTGAGCTGATGTTTTCTAGTAGCCACATTAGAAAAAGGAACGAGATACAGGTAAAAGTCATTTTAATAATAGCCTGTTTAACCTAACATATCACAAGTATTATCATTTTAGCATGTCATTAATATAAAAATCGTGAATGATATATTTGACTTATTTTTTTGTGAGTGTGTTTGAATCCTGTGTGTACTTTGTGCTTTAAGCTTATCTCATGGTAGACTAACCACATTACAAGTGCTCAGTTGTTATATGTTGCTAGTGGTGCCCTTATAGGTCAATGTGGTTCTAGAATACACACCAAATGTGATTTTGTCCGGCAGTACAGGCAGGGAAGTTGGTAGAGAAACAGAATATTGGGCTTTACCCCAGCCCTGCTGAATCAGAATCCTTATTTTTATCAAAGTTCCAGGTCTGCATTCCTGCATGCATGTTGACACTTGAGAAATGTGAGAAGAGTTACAGGTGGCTGGACAAGTGAGCATGTGCAAGACCCATCTAGCTTTCTCTGTTCAACATAAGTAGGTGTTGATATGACAGGAAGTGGGACCTCCCTCCTTCCTTGCTCCAAACCCATTGGTCGTGGCCTCTTAGAAGTGGCATGGGTGAGTGATGGCATAGCCCTGGCTAGATCCCATTGGGCCCAATTAATTCTGCTCTATTGAGAGCTTTGCAGGAGCTGCTGTTGCTAGGGGTAGGTACCATTTGTAGCAGGTGGGCTCTGTAGACTTTGAGGGAGGGGCTGGTTCAGGTGTCACAGGCTGGATGTGTCTCACTGTTAGGGTGTACCCAGAGGTATACTCACCTGTCAGCGAGCCACGGTGGTGTTGGGACATCTAGCTGGCCTTGCAGGGGCCCAGTGAGGTGCAAAGGAGACTGTGTGGTAGTAATTGCTCTTTCTTAACCCTTTTTATCAAACTATTTTATTTGTTTGACTTTGTATAGGTAATACAGTACAAATTTAGACTCTAAGAGATAAAAAGGATATATTGTGTGGTGAAAAATAAAATCTAGTCTCCAAAAAGGCCAATAGCCGCCCCTGTTTTTTTGAGATTCTTCAAGAGATAGTCTTTGTACACACCAGGAATTACATCTATCGGACCTTCCTGTTCTGCCTGTTCATCTTGCATTTACCCTTTCCACTTAAAAGTGTGCCTCAGGCCCTGGCCTGAGGAGGCCTTATCAATATGCAGTTTTCTCATTTCTTTTTAAATGACTTACTATTCCATTGTATGAGTGTATCACAACTTACTTCAACAATTTTGTTTCTGACTTTCCCAGTGAAGCAAGGGATAGTTTGCATTTAAACCAGGACATCTCATATATAGCTTGTTAGTTGAAAGGATTTTTATTATACTTTGCACAAATTTTAAATTGTCAGTCTACTTCTTCTTAAAGTCTTAACATTTATATAAAGAAGCCTTTATTAAGAACACTTTAGATTAGGCTAATTGGATTGTCTTATGTGGAATCAAAGCCACATAGCACTATAAGGCACTTCAGATACCATTTAACTCCAATTTCTCATTTTATTGAGGTCCAGACAAGTTGGGAAATTTGCTTAAAATTACACAGCGATTCTTACAGGAACTAAAGAGAACTGAGGTTGCTTGATTTCCTCTGATGTCCTTTATGTTTCTCATGCTGCTTAGGTTTTCTCAAAGAAATTTGAATAAAATTTTTTTCCTTTAAAACTTAATTTTATTACGGGGCCCTCCCTAGTGGCTCAGCAGGTAAGGACGCAGCACTACAAGCCAGCCGCAGCCACTTCAGTGTGATTTTGATCCTGGGCCCCAGAGGTGACCCACATGGCGCGGCAGACCTCTCCTGACCCACCCGCTGCTCCCCTCAGCAGTGTATCTCATCCATCTGCCTGTTCTGCTTCCCACTCTGTCTCTGGTGAATCCTCTCACCGCCCCTGCACCTCTGGCCTGTACCCCAGATCCGTATGCATAAATAAAAAATAAATCTTTTAAAAAAACAACGTAATTTTATGATTATATAAAATGAATGTTAATTATTAAAATACACCCAAGAGATCACTGGAATTTCTGCAGTCACAAATGTCAGACATACAAATCAAACTAGCTTAGGTTAAAAAAAAAAGGTGTGAGAGGAACTGGGTGTGTGATTTGGTTCACAGTGCTGTGAATCCCAGCTGCCTTCAGACATGGTTGCATCCAGGACTTGTAGTGAGGACTTTGTCACCTTTCTATCTTTTCTCCTCATGGAGCAGATCGGTGGCCACCAGCACCCCCAGAGTTGGCATTTACCACACCTAGCAGAAGGGCAGTAGTGTTCAATAGCTGTGCCAGGGAGGAGTGATTGCCTAGCTGGGTTTATGTCCTTCCCACCTATCACGCCAGAGGGCCTGGGCACTGTGGTCGAGTCATCATCATAGCTAGCGTCTGGTTAGCACACTATAGTTTACCAAGTCCCTGTTAAGAATGCTCATTTATCTCACTTCCTTCGGTCCTTATCATAGCTTGGGGAGGTGGAGAGGAGAGGTGGGGTGAAAGTGTTATAAACTCGTTTTATAGGTTGGGGACACCGGGCTGTGGCCAAGCTGGGAAGAGTTTACTGTGCTGCTCACGTATCTGAGAACTGACAGTCTCATGTTGATGGGACAGAGGCAAAAGCTACTTTGCAAGCGTCGTCTGTTCCTTCTGTCTGCAGATATTTACTTTGGGCACGCAGGCCTCCCAGTGACTGAATGTGGAGCAGCTGGGGTCACAGCTGGCTTTGGAGGTGCCCCATGCTCGATGTGGGGGGTGGGGAGGAAAAAGGAAAAACTTTGGGGGGATGTTTGCTGTTGCTGTGGCCAGGTGGCCACAGCACATGGTGTCTATACCATGTGCATTTGACGGCTCTCTGCTGGGCTTCTGACCTTGCTCCCGGGGCAGAGGCGGCCCTGGCTGCTGCAGGCCTCAAGTTGGTCAGGTGCAGTCCCTGAGTCAGCCTGAGTCTGGGGGGACCCTACTCTTGGGAAAAGAAGACTGTGAGCCTGGGTAAGATGAATCCTCAGAGGCGTGATACTCATATCCCCAGGTGGCAAAAGACCCCCAGTAAGTTGGGCTCCCCAATCGGACAGCACCCAATGACGAGGGACAACAAACAGCTGAAGTGACTTTTGAAATCGCAGCTCTCTTTTCAACGACATGTTTCCTCTGTGTGAGTCACCAGACTGACTGAAAATTGAATCAGAAACAAAAGGCCTCAAACTTTGGGCCAAATGCTTGTCATTTTATATCCCGTTCTCGGTCTGTAGTGGTGGTGGTGGACTGAGTTCTTAGAAACTTCTACCACACCCGCCGCAGGTTGTGAAGAGAGTTGCCGGGGAGTGCTGAATTAGGGACAAGGAGCCTGTTCAGCACCTGAAAGAGGTCGGTGATGTAGCTGAAGCAGTGTGACCAAGGAAACACACTATCATCCTCTTCCTGGAGGTCTTGTAGGTGGGTGCTTGGGTTTTTCACACAGCCCAGATGTCAGAAAAGGGCCTTTCTGGGGCCTCCACTTGCCAGTATGAATCCTTTGTGCAAAAGCAGAAGACACCCCCTCTCGGTGCACGGCATCGAACGCTGTCCCTTCCAGTGGTTAGGGGAGCACAAGCTGGCCTCACCCCTCTCCTGGCCCTTTGGGGTGTCTCTGTGCAGCACGACCTGCCTACCTTTCGGTGACTGCCTCATCATTTCTACATGCTCAGTTTCTGGTGAAAGGGCATTTCCCTTTGTTGGGATCTGTTCTCTGTAGGCTCAGGGTTGGCCTGGACAATATTTTAAAATGACTGTCGCTTAGTTTTTATTCTGCTTGATTTGTGTTGTTTCAAGAGAACTGGGCTTTTTGGTTAATACTCTGGAGTGTGACTCCAGGTGGTCCCTGGCCACAGGGGTGCATGGTCAGTGTGGTGGTTGGGTGGAGGCTGACCTCCCTCAGGAGAGAGGAAGCAC